CAATTGATGTTGTAAGAACAAGATAAACAGCGAACAAAACTTTGAAACAGAGTGATAGTACGAAAGGGTAACACAATTTGTGCTTATTTTTGTGCAAATATGTTGCACTATAAAAAGGAAAATTAATAAACTAAAAAACTGATTTTTTTAAAAAAATGTATCAACATGCATCATAATAATGATATTAAATATTGACTAAGGAATATTAAGTGCTATAGTAAGTATTATTAATTACTTAAAGTCTTACTGATGCATTTTTTTTTTATATTTTAAAATTCCTAAAATTTGTCAAAAGTACATTTTTTTAGAACAGTTAAGTAAAAAAACAATGGAATTGAAATTACCTTAAAATTTCATTAATTAACATCTATATTGTAAAAAAAAACTCTATTATTTGAAAGCATAAAGTAAAGTAAATTATTTTCCTTCACATTTCGACACCTATGTACTTTAAGATTAAAATTAACTATAAATTATATGTAAATTATATTTTCTTTTTTTAATGATTTTATATATCTACATCTTTATTAATTTTATTTTAAAAATTGAAAATTAAAGTAGTTACTCAATTTTTCTTTATATAATATTTTATATTTTTATTTTAATTATAAAAAATATTTACACTTTTTCCTGTTTTTTTGAATTTAGAGTTTACTTCTAAAAAATTTCATCTCTTCAATTTATGGTTACTAGTTGACATAATTAAAAAAAAAAGCTGACCTTAAAAGATAAACGTATGATTTTAAAATAAATTATATCTTAAAATTATTTTATTTTATTAAATTTTTATCATTTTGATATGTTTTATTCATATTTATAGAGTTAAGTCAAAATAATTTTAAAAAATTATTGTTTAAAATAATTTTATTATATATAATTATTTATAGAAATACATATTGTATTCTTTAATTATTAAATTATATGTATTTATTATAAAGTAAAACATTAGCATTGCATAGGGTAATTAAACTAGTTAAAGTGATTACATATGATATCAACCAGAGCTATTTTCATTAAAATTATGATACTAAACAAATATAAAATTTTATTGTCTTAGAAATTTTCAGAAACAAGAATGAAATTGAACTGCCAAAATAATAATTTATTACATAGGAATTGATCAAATAAAATAAAATTGAATTTTGCATTGGACAATCTAAAAATTTAAGTCTTGAATATCTTTTTAAAGTGAACCAAATATATTTTTTATTATCACCTTTTAAATTTATAGATTTCAATTGTTTTAATCTTGTATTGAGATCCCACATTTATTTTTCTAAAAAACAAAATTTTACCCAAAAAAAACTAGGAGAAGTATCGAAAATTTACATTCCAAGGTCACTTTTGTTAGCATTTTTCAAAAGCAATGTTTGGCTCGACACCCTATCCCATGAGTGATGAGTACCGTACAAACATCCCCGCAATCGACGGTGGTGTGACACGTGCAACGGATGTGGTCCCCGCAAGGCGCGTGCTCCACGTGCCATATGTACTAGATGTCGGCATTAGACAACACCATGAGCGTCTTCGTCGATTGTTGCGCCTCCACGTGGACTCTACCCTTTAAAACAGAAACGAGAAATGTGCAGTGTGCTCTCATTTTCCATCTTTTGCCTTCCTCAAAATTTCCATTTCTGTTTGGTTTTAGCTTAGGGTTAGGGTTAAGGGGACTTCAATGCCAACGGATTTTTTATCGCCTCGATGCCAATGGAATCAAATGGAATATATTGCATCATATCTCCATGCAATTTCGTATTTGGGGGCACCTGCGCTTCATTTTTATCCTCATTTTTCGTTTATTATCATTTATTTATCTGTTAATAAAACATTTACAGATGACAAAGTTAAAAACTAAATACCCTAAAACTATTTTATGTAAAAACATATTTTTATTCATAAAATAAAAAATATATAAATATTTTTTATATATTATAAGTAATTTTATAACTTTTTTCAAATTGAGTAAGATAATTATGAGTAATAATTTTTTAATTGATATTTAATAATTTTATTAAATATTTTTAATTTGATAAATTAGTTTAATATTTTTTAATCAATAAAACTTTTGGCTTTTTTATTTTGTTAAGTAAATCATTGTTTAAACAATTACAAATATTATTAATTATATTTATAAATATAAATAAATTACGTATGATTTCTTGTAAATACTACTTCCTTAACTTATTATTAATTTTTATTTCAGTTTCATTTCTATTTAAATCTGTCTTAATCTTGCTATCCTGATTCAATTAAATGGTGAAGTGACAATTCAAATGTCAGATCATCTCTTTCACTTATAATAATTGAAGTGTAAATAAATAAAATGTTGAAAAAAAATATTTAAAATTTATTTAAATTAATTTTTAATATATGATATTTAAAACTTAAAGAATGAGAAAGCTCAGATGTTTCAATTATTAGAATCCAACTCTTTTGTTCTTTATTCTCAATTGTTCTCAATTCTCAATTATTAGAATAGGTTAATTTATATGAGCCCACATTCTAAATGACTATATATTTTAACTTTACATAAAAGAAAAAACATTTTCTATCACTCATCAAACTATGTAAATTTAAATTAGGCAGAAATAAGAGAAATAAAAACAACATAAATAGAAATATAAATATAAATATAAATATATAATAGTCATTTTTATATATATGAATTGACAGGTTAGTATGCAAAATCATAAATTCATTTCGTTTAAACTCACTATATAAAGTTTATATACTAACCTATATAAACTTACAATTAAATGTGTCACTTATTTTATATCTAAACTTTCTAGTAGGAACCTTTTGTCTGTCAACTCGCGAGTGAAAACTTGCATACCCACTTCTTCTCTGATAACTATGTCTTCAATTATGGTTTCGACCAAGTACTTATCTTCTTTCCAATTAAACGTTCAGTTTGTGGTTGGAAGTTAGAAAATTTACCCCTTTGCCCTTTGGAGAGTTTCTCCACATCCAATTTTAGGTGCTTATAAATATTTTTTTTTTCTATTTTATTCGTATAAATGAAATAATCTTTGGTTTTGCTTCCTCGTTATTTTCTCCTTTGGTTCGTTCCTAAAAGTCAGACAGTGAAAGAGGGCTTTCTTAGATACTTCTAAATTTAATTTTGAAAAAAAAAATCTGATAGAAGTTATAATTATTTAATTTATACAAATAAATTATGAATATATTTTACTTTCTAGATGCAACAACATTTTAGTTTTTTCATCAACTTCTTGTGTTGTATATACTATAATTTTTGTTAAACTATGTTATAATTCATAGATATGTGTTACGCATCAAAATGCGTGTAATGCTTGTGATTGGATGATACTATTTAAGTATCTCGAGTATGTTAGAATGTTCGTTCTCAGTGTTGTTAAAATTACTAAATTTATACTCCCAATGGTCTAAAGGAATATAATTATTAGTTTTATAATCGTTTTGTTTGTTTGTATTTAAAAGCTCTTTTCCCATCTGTCTTGATATCTTGTGGAAAGATTAATTAAATAAATCTCCACTTGGCTATGGTGCTCATTAGCATCATCTTTAAGATAATAATTGAAGAAAAAAGTTTAAAAATAAGTATAAAATGAAAATTTTAATATTATTTATATATTATTAACATAATATTTAATAAAAAATATATTTTTTAGTTTCTTAATCACTATAAATTAGCATAAATTTAATAAACTTCTCTTCACGTGTATTTATTGCTGCAGTGTGACAAAAAAAAAAGATGTTTGCTACTGAATATATCGATAAACTTGATTAGGCATTATATATTCTTTCTAAATTGATAATTATAATTTATTATTAACTATATTATCTATAAATATAAAATTAATAGTGGTAATTGTTACGTTGATAAAAAAATATAAAATATTTTTTTAATTTATAAAACACTGTAAAAATTACCTTAAAAAAGCATAAGTGCAGTACCCCTTCCACTTTAAAATATTAAACTATTAATCTCGGGTGAAGAAAATAGAAGTAAATTAAAACAAAGAACCAACAGTGATCAATAAAGACCCAAGACTAGAAATTGATAAAAGTTATCTAGCCCAATAATCTTCAGTAAAACATATTCATAGAATATCAGGAACAGCAAACCACGACCCAAAGAGAAAAAGAGGAACAGCTCACAAGTAGACATGTAGTCGTGCAATTAGTCTGTTTAAATATTGTCCATTCTTCTTTTTATTCTTAGTTCGTCCTCATTAGTTGATTTTTTTGAGAATCAGATCAAGATTCTTAACTAACGGAACTTTAATTCGGTCTTCCCTCCTGTTATTCTTTTATATATTTAATAATATGCACTAAATATTTTTAAAACATATTAATAATTAACAATTCATAAGGCAATCAACCTCGTCAATGCATTGAGTATCATCCACTCTAATTTTTTCAACTATTCACAACTAAAATAAAACCCACAGTAATATATAAATCACACAATATATACCAATTATCAAATTACATGCAATATTTACTAAATTTCATAGAAAATAGAGAAACGTGGCTAACACGCCATCTAGCACATTTTTAATTATTAATTAAAATTTATAAAAAATTGTAAATTTTACTCTTTCGTACTTTTAATTTAATATTTTTTCTTTTGTTTTTATAATTTTTAAATTTTAACTAGTATGTTAAAAAGAAGTGTTTGAAGGTGTGTTATTAGTGTTGGTCAAAGTAATATTATTATTACCCCATACCTTCTCGTATTTTCGCTTCTCAAATCACAAGTTACAACTTTGTTCAGGTTGGAAGGAGAAAATGAGAAGAAATAAAATGAGATAATAGGAAGCCGTCTCTATTTTAGTCAACAAAGCCCATTCACGTTGGCACCAGCATTTTCATTGGGCTAAAATTCTTCCTTCTTTAATTTTGGGCCCGTCCATTTTGACCCAAGAAAAAAAGCTAAAGGTTTCCGAGTTAGGAGGGTCCACCAGAAACCTGCCAGAAGGTTCGGAGAATCAATCGAACGGCGAAACCTCAAACAAGAACGTGTCTATACTCCAACCCAAACGCTACCTTTGATTCCCAATCCTTCTATCCCAAAGATCAGTTCAGTTCCGTTAGATTCCAATTCCATGGCGACACCGTCGTCCTCCTCGGTTCCGCAATCGCAATTCACCTATTCCAACTCCTATTTCCCCGTCCCCTTTCACCTTCAGCAACCCGCAACCTCTCACTATGCTGCACACTACGTCGCCGCTCCCTCCGTGCAAATCCCCCCGCCTCCTCTCGTCGGTCCCGTTGCCCCGACTCCGGTGGCCGGCGTTTACCCCATCGTGCCGCAATATCAGGTATGTGGCTTCGTTATAAGGAATAGAAAAAATGTTACCTAAATTGATTATTGAATGTGTCACGTGACTGAACAGGCGCAGCAATTATTTGAGAGGGATGCACAAATAATAACACCGCAAGCTCTTGAAAGTGTTAAGGCAGCGATTGCAAGCAGCGACGTGGAGCACAAAGCTGAGACTAAAAAGAAAGCGGTTCCTCGCAAAGCTGCTGGTCAAACTTGGGAGGATCCTATTCTCGCAGAGTGGCCTGAAGGTAGTTATTAGTTATTACTCTTTAGAATTTACTAATTTGTTAATTTAATTTTATGCATGTAGAAAATTTGCTAGTGATAGATGATCTATTATTCCTTGATTCGGTTTGTATAAGTGATTTTGGATTGTGTGCGCGCGTGAGAATTGCGTTAATAATTTTGAAGTTAGATAAGATTTATGAATTGATTTTATCTTTTTTGGATGGTTAGATGATTATCGGCTCTTTTGTGGTGACCTTGGTAATGAAGTGAATGATGATGTTCTTTCGAAAGCATTTTCCCGATTCCCTTCGTTTAATATGGCACGAGTAAGTGGATCTCTCTTACAACTTGATTCTTTTACTGTTCCATAATGATTGGGTTAGTGTGAGCATTTTCTATTTCCTCTTCAGATTTTTGTTTGACGGGACAGAGTTGTTAATGATATGTGTATCTTAAGGTAGGTCTTGCTTCATAATTTACATTCAATTGGACATTTTTTATGGCTAAATTGATGCGGTATTTTGTCATCTCAGGTGCCCCCCCGTCATTGCTCATTATTCACAAATCAAGGGCAATTGAACTTATATACTGGTGAAATAGTTTAATGCATTTGAATTTGAACAGTCAATTCATTTAAAATTAGTGTTGAGTGTGACTGTTATTTTGTAGTGTAATGATATATCAAACTTTGCTGGAGTCAGGTTGAACTTCAAGTTTTGGCTAACCAGTTTAAATTGGAAGAATTGCCAGCAAGTTAATTGGAAAATTGAATCTTTGAACTATGTTTTGTTTGTTTTTCCTCTCCTGCCCTATTTTACACTAATAGCATTCTAACTAAACGGAATTCTTTCAACCTTTGTACTTTTTTGGGTATAAGAATAAGTCTATACACAAAATGAGTATCTTTCCTGAAGAAGGTAAACGTGGAAGTCTTTACATGACGATAAATTTACGTATAGATGAAAATAATGTACTACCAAAGAGGCTTTTAAATATGGCATGGAAAAGTTCCTACCCAGGAGGGCAGGCAGGCAGAGACTCAAATTTTTAATTTTTTTTTGTGAATAATGAATGAGATGTTAAGTTAGTGGACATTAGATTCTAATTCAGTTCATACTTCTGGTTTGCTTTATGTATCGCATTCTTTATAAAATGTGTTTGGTAGGTCCCATTGTGACCAACAAATTTGTTTGCTGGAAATATGAGGGCTTGTTATTAGAGAGTGGAGACATAATTAATTCCATCTAAAGTACTTTAGACTTATAGTAGATTAGTAGTCTGTTTTTGTAATTGCCTTGTTTAGCTTGTCTTTTAATGAACTTAACCCTTATTATTTGTGTTTGTGCTGAGTGTGTTTTCCTTGTAATATTTTGTGATTAAGGTGTTTGATTTTGTCTAGGTTGTTAGAGATAAGCGGACTGGAAAAACAAAGGGTTATGGATTTGTGAGCTTTGCCAATCCTTCTGATCTTGCTGCTGCTCTTAAAGAAATGAATGGTCAGTAAGTTGCTGACTATTGCTATGCGTGTCTTCTATCCTGCTCTCTTCTTTATTGTGCTGCTTTCTTTTATATGGATGACCCTTTTATGAGAACCCCTTACTGGGTCTCTCTTTTATGTGTTACTATGTAATGTGAGACGTCCCTCTTAGGAGACAATCTCATTATATAAAAAGATGAACTATGGATATTTTTGCATTGAACATTCTTTATATTACATAAAGTAAGTTAGCCTACAAAGTACTTAGTTACAAATTTTACAAAGTACTCACAACTGCTCTCCGTTTTGTCAAATTATTTTACAAGAAGAGAGATTACTAAAAATCTAACTTCTTTATTTACTAGCAACTATTTACAAAAATGTACATTATTTAGGTCTCACCTTGAACTACCATCTCTAGGTCCTCTCTAATCATCATTCTCATCAAGGCCTTCTAGAGGTGGATCTATCTGGATGCCAAGATAACACATTGCACATTTGAGGGCACTTAGGATCTCGATTCTCAGGATATCAACAACAATAATGGGCGTTACCAATGGGTTATTGATCTAGCTGAGTGTATAAATAACACCACCAGTAAAAAAATGAATAGGCTAACAGTCTTTGAATAGGCTAACATATAAGGCATAAACTATTTCCCAAGGAAATACATAATACTAATGAATAAAAGAATACTATTATAATATCATAGGCTAACAATCTTTGATACTTTTCTTTTTAATCCATCTATGAAGTAATCTATTATTCATTATTACTTTAAGTTTTATGGTTGAACAATCGGGAGTGTCGCGCCTGCAGTCTAGAGTGTGCATCATGGTACATTGATCCCTTTAGGAGGATCACCATTTACAGTGCACATCATCAATCTAAATGGTTACTTCTTTAGGTTCATACTCTAACCAATCATGGGATGTGCAAGCACTAGTCAAGACAGCCTAGCATTTTATCCTTTCTTGTGACATATGTTAACTAGGTCTGATCTCTTGCTAGTACTTGAGTACCTTACTATCATTGATCCTAAACTTGGTCAATCGCTTTTTGTCCTTCACCTATACCAAGTGTTCAACCATTGGTGTATTTATCATTATTCATTTTGGTACATTATGGGTAAACTTTTGTGACTCATCACTTCACTTTAAGAGAGTCACATAATTTCATGATATCTTTATTTAAGAGAAAGATTCACCATTGGTGTAGTTATGAGTACTTTTGTAAAATTTTGTAGCCAAGTACTTTTTAACCTAACTTATTTTATGTATTATAAAATATGTTCAGTATAAAAATATCCATAGTTCGTCTTTTATATAATGAGATTGTCTCGAGAGAGTGACGTTTCATAATGTCTTAATACACATACTTTAATTCAGTATAAATGTTTGATGTCAGATGACATTGGCTAGAAACTGATAACATGTGTATTCTTGATCTCAGGTAAGTATGTTGGAAATCGGCCTATAAAACTACGGAAGAGTAAGTGGAAGGAAAGGACGGATTATGAGGCTCTGGAAAAACAGAAGGTAGCAATTTTCTTTGTCAATGATTTGAAACCGTACAGTTAATGCATCCTCTTGCATGACCAACTTAATTCTTTTATTGTCTGCATGGCAGAATCAAATTCAGAAGAGACTGAAACTGCCAAGGAAAGGTGTGCTGCACAAGTGACATAGGCCAGAATTTGTATAAATCTAGTTACCAACTTAATCAAGTAGACCATTGTTTTCAATAAGCTATTTCTTTTTTCATGTGTAATGTATTTCCAATGTAACCCAAAAAAAAAGAAAAAAAGAAACTCACTTCAGCTATTTCTACTATTCTTTTTCTTTTAAAATGTATAGCCCAGTACCAAAAAATACCTAATTTCTGATGTTTCAGGGGTTGTGGTGGTCATCTATAAAAAAACACTGAAAATGGGTAAAATTTGACTGACTGTTCATTGAATTAATGGAAAACTTTAGATTGTTACTGAAGTTGGTGCTTGGTGGAGTAGCGTAAATACAGTTTGTCAATGCCATCCAGCACAAACTAGCCGGTGAAAACAATGTCTTTTTAATGGGGAAAATAAAATAGAAATTGGTCTGCGTGCTTGATTAGGATATATGCTACCTCATGAATAATAAATTCTGCATTTCTATGCTTCTCGGAATTGATGTTATTTTTCTGTTAGTGCTTACTGCTGGTGTGCCTTGAGGAACAAATCGAGTGATTTGGCTATCAGGAGTGATGCTTCTGTGCTTAAACAGAAATGAGGCTTGTGCTTCAATCCCTCAAATTATTTATCAATTTCTGTTTATTTTTTATCTCACTTCCTCTGTTTATTTTCCTACGTTAATGATTTTATTGTCATCGTTTGATTTGTGCTGTTAAAGTTCGATATAAATCTGGTGTAATTCATCCCAGTATAATAAAATGAATATAACTCTTATAAGGTAAAGAACAGAGAACCTCGATTCCTGATACAGAAAATTAATGGTTGTTACATGTGTTTGCATAATAAATGGCGACTTTCAAAAAAAAATTTCTTTTATTAAAAATTCCTTTTTAAAAAAGTTCAGCTTTCTCGCGATAATTACTTTAATTTTTTTCATTTTATGTTAAAACTTCTTTCTATCTCAAATTTTAGTTATTTAGAGCATGTTTGATTTCTGTTTTTAAAACAGTTTTCTGTTTTTAAAAATTAATTTTAATATAAATTTGTATTAGAATTAATTTTTAAAAATAGAAAATTATTTTAAAAAGAGAAATAAAACATACCCTTATATTCTCAAATTTTTCATATCCAAATATATTTTCGCAGACTGGTAGCACTTATCCGTGTCACTCAGTTACTCCTCCTTGTGCTTGCACGAGAGTTGTTGTCGATGGCTGAATTCAACATTTGAAGTCGAGCATATTCTTGTCCCAACTCAATCTAGAGTTAAATTATGCATGTTTGCTCACGTAGAAACTCTAGAATAACTTGAACGATGGGTTAGAAATTCGCAAGCTTTAGGCGAAGGGTTCAAATCCTGCAATATTGGAAAATAGTCAATATGTACTCCCTAACTTTGCTTCGTTGAAAATATTTTTCGTAATATTCTTTAATTAAATTGAATATTTTATTTTAGTATTGATCACCTTTTGTGTTGATTATGAAAAGAATTGACAATAAACGAATTAAAATATCAATTGAAGAATAAAATTAAAGTGCAATATTATATCTTAATTTGATCCATATAGTATATAAGAAAAAAAAATTGACTTTTTAAAGTAAGTAAATATAATAAGTGAAAAGAAACAACATTAAATTTATTAAAAATTAATTTAAATCAATAATAAACTAATTAAAACAAATATAGCCTTATTTTTTTCACTTATTTTCTCAACCAAGTATACCCAATTATGTCTTAGGTGAGTGTATGTCATTAACTGCTAGGTAAATTTCCAGAAATTTTGTTATAATTAATACACACACACATATATATATATATATATATATAAATAATGAATAAAACTTTTTTTAATAAGTTAAAAATGACTTATTTTTCAACTTAGTTAACTTAAATAAAAGAACTTTTTGAACAGATTTATTAACGAGTATACTGTTTTTAGACATTGGTTAAAAAAATAATAAATGATTTTTTCTATTTAAAATCAGGCTTAAAAATATATTAAAAGTTAGCGTGAAAGTGTATAGACAACGTTTATGTTTTTTAATAAAATAAAATCCTCCGCTGCCTGCAGTGCTTCTAGTCGTAGGCTTTTGGGTTTTAGATATGAGAATTGAGAACCCATAGGCATAGCTCAACGCCGCCTCAACCATTGACGCTCTTCCCTCCAACGTCACTGCATTTGTGAACGCTTCTCCCTCACGACTTTGCTTCTGCTTCTGAGTGTCTGGTGAGTCTGTTCACAACTTTGCCAGCATTAATATTTAAGTGCAAATTTATAGCCATATTTGTACAAATCAGTTAGCCCCAACCATCCTCTTTAGCCATTGCTAACCACTCATTATTATCACTTTAATAAATTCTACTTCTTCCTAACTCTGTTTCTTACAGACAATCTTAGACTATGTAATGTTGTCTTATCCATTCCATTCACATACTAACTTCCATTTTCAACCAGTAATCCCTAATTTATTTATTTATTACTTTGTAATGTGCGGAGCAGTGTAACTTTCGTTATTTCATCTTTAGATGGTGAATGCAATACTTACTAGAATTCCTTTTATGTTATTACTGGCTCCTACTTGTTTTATTCTATTTCTTGTTTGTATTTATTGTAACATAGACCCATCTTGTTGTTCACAGGTGGGTTTTTCTTTTCAAGTGGAAAAGAGGTTAAGGTGAATGTGATGCCGTGTAGGTGGATTATATCAATCTGCCCGAACTGATATGTTTATTGGGCTTAATTGAGCAAAAAGATATAAATAGCTTGAAGTGCACCATTGTAGATCTTTGTGGCTTGAGAGAGTACGATTAGTATACCTGAGCAACAAAGATGGGGTATATGGCTACACTACAAAATAATATTTTCAGCTTTCATTCTTTGAATGGTTTGCAAGGCTGTAACAAACAAGAGAGCTGTTTTTTGGGTGCTAGTTCTGCTTTGGATCATAGTTCAAGGAAAAAATCACCTACCCTACACCAAATTTGTTTTAGCGGTGCACCTAAATATTTTTTTCCCAGGAAAGGATTTCAGTGTCGAAGTTTTCGGGGAAGTGTTTTAGTTGATAGAGTTAATGAGATTGACCATGAAGATTGGGGTTTTGGAAGTGATAATGACAATGAAAGGGGAAAATCCATGGAACTAGCGGATTCAAACAAGTTTATAAACTCTCCAAGTTTGTCCCCAGAAAGACCGTTTATCCAAAATGATGAAATGACCAACAATAAAATTCTTCAGAAGCTTTGCAGTCAAGGAAGGTTAACGGTTGCAGCAAAGTTGATTGATATTATGGCACGCAAAAGTCAAATACCCCATTTCCCTTCTTGTGCAAATTTGATCCGAGGTTTTATCAGAAATGGTCTGATAGATAAAGCTTGCAAAATAATGAATGTAATGGTTATGTCTGGTGGTGTTCCTGATATAATTACTTACAACATGGTGATTGGTGGCCTGTGTAAAAGGGGTCATTTAAAATCTGCTATTGGTCTGGTAGAAGATATGAGCTTGAGTGGTTGCACCCCAGATGCAATTACCTATAATTCAATAATTCGCTGCATGTTTGATAAGGGAGATTTTAATCAGGCTGTTAGTTTCTGGAAGGACCAATTGAGAAAAGGTTGCCCTCCTTATCTGATTACCTATACGGTGCTTATTGAGCTGGTATGCAAATATTGTGGGGCTGCTCAAGCCCTAGAAGTACTGGAAGACGCGGCAAGGGAAGGCTGTTATCCTGATATCATTACATATAACTCTCTTGTTAATTTTACTTCTAAACAAGGGAAATATGATGATACTGCTCTGGTTATATCTAATCTTCTATCCCATGGAATGCAGCCGAATGCTGTGACATACAATACTCTCATCCACTCTCTTAGTAGCCATGGATATTGGGACGAAGTTGATTATATTCTGAAGATTATGAATGAGACTTCCAGTCCTCCTACGCTTGTTACGTACAATATTCTGCTAAATGGTTTATGTAAATCTAGACTTTTAGATCGAGCCATAAGCTTCTACAGCATGATGATTACTGAAAACTGTTCACCAGACATCATAACATACAATACTCTTCTAAGTGCTTTGTGTAAGGAGGGGTTTATAGATGAGGGCATCAAGTTACTTAACTTACTGGTAAGTACGAACTGTTCTCCTGGGTTGGTCACCTATAATACTGTAATTGATGGGTTGGCTAGAATGGGATCTGTGGAATCAGCAAAAGAATTGTATGATGAAATGGTGGAGAAAGGAATCGTTCCTGATGAAATTACTCACAGTAGTTTGGCTTGGGGTTTTTACCGGGTGGACCAACTTGAGGAAGCTGCAGAAGTATTAAAGGAGATGCATAAGAAAGAACAAAAGATTAAAAATACTGCTTATAGATGTGTAATCCTTGGATTATGCAAGCAAATGAAGGTTGATATTGCAATTCAAGTTCTAGATTTGATGGTGAAAAGTCAATGCAGGCCAGATGATAGGATATATTCTGCTTTAATTAAAGCTGTTGCTGATGGGGGTATGGTGAAAGAGGCTAATGATTTGCATCAGAGGTTGATCAAATGGAAGATTCTAAAAAAGGAAGTCATGTTCAGTTAGTTGGAATTTGCACTAAAAGATTGGCCAAAATTAATAATGCTTCTGGCCATGTACAGATTATACGTTCCTATCAGGTGATTCTTTAGATCCCTTTTGATTGTGAGATTTTGATTCTCTCCTGTTTGGATGGGGTGTCATACTCCCCAACTTCTCTCCATCTCTATTGCTCCCTGTTCATGGAAGATACTAGAGAGAGATTGAAAATTTGGGAAACAGATCTTCCCCTGAATAGAATAGAATGGAATCCGACTCTTTTTGAGATCTACTAATTGTCTGTGGAATGTAAGGATGCTACCCCCATAAGTTTTTTGCTTCTAGTTCATGCCATTATTTAAAAATTTTGATGCGGTTACTTTTTAATTATTCTAAAACAATCTGCCATAATGATGTAGCATTTCCCCCATTGTTTTATCTATAAGCTCGTAATCTAACCTCATTCTTGCATGTCTACATTGATGATGCATAATCATCTCTGGTGTTGTTACATTTTACTAAATTTAAGCACAATTTACTGCTACGGATCTTAAGTAAAAAATTATAGTGTATTAGAGTGTACTGACGGTTGTTTTAACATCAATCAAGTGGACAGTCCATGTTATGCACATCATGAGGCTATGTTCGGATATTGAATGACGAGTAAAATGGAATACAAAGACATGAACGAAATGGAATAGGATAAATTTAGCATTTCATTGTTTGGATATTTTTATGATGGAATGAAAAAAAAAAGACTTGTCCCACATTATACCCCAAATAAAAGAGGAAGAAAAATAGGAATGTTGGATTGCACGGGTCGGAATGCATTCCATCTCATTTCATTCCATTCGATCTTATTTTAAGCAATCCAATCAATGGAATCTAGCATCACTCCATTCTCTTTCATTCCATCTTTTTCTATCAATCCAAAGTTCCAAACCCAGCTTGAAATATTATTTTCATTCTCTGGGGTCATATTACCTTTGGAGCATCAGAATATTCAATTAAGTAGGAAGGCTCATTACTGGCTTCTGATTTATAAACCTTCACTTTAGTCCTTCTAATTATAAAGATAAGTTACTCTACTCCCTTTCCAAACAAAACTTTCATTTTAGGCCGACTTTGCAAAAATTTTTAAAATGTGATTCAATTTTGTTCTTAATGCCAATGAAAAGGCGTGGGTCTAGTGTAATAGGACTAAAATGAATAAGATTTTTCTAGGTTAGGGATTAATAGTGAAACTTTTGCGAAGTCAAGGGTTAAAATGAAAGATTTAAACAATCTGAGGACTAAATTAAAGGTTTATTAGTTTTTTATTATCATATTCGTACTATGCTGTTATTCAACCACAAAGTTTGTTCAGTTGTAGTTTTATGTAAAAATAATGCTCTCTTTCTCATACACACACACTGAAAACTGGTCATTGTAGCTTGTGTGACTAAGACCTGCTTACTTTTACTCTGCGTATTTGCCTGTTCAGGAAAGCATGGGGGGAAGTTTTGACAGATACTGAGGTGGGTACTGCAAGGTCCAACAGTATCGACTAATAGTAATACTTACACTCAGCATGAAACAAAATTTCGGTAGTTGAAGTTGACATAAACACGTGCTCGTCAAGTTATTTTTAATGTCAATCTAATCTTCGAGTATGTAGATCTTAGATAACTTGATGAGGATAAAGAAGAAAGTTGTGATCCTCATGTTAGTTTTGGTAGTTATAAGTTAGTTTCTGCCGACTTTTAATTGTTATAGTACTGTTTGTATCAGCATTTTTATCATCTAAAAAAAATTGTAGTAATTATGCTGCATGCTGGACATCCATTTGACCTTGGGATATTATTATTTAATTTTACTTTTTAGGTCTTTAGATTTTTATTCAAAGGTGCGAAGTTTGTGTAGAAGAAACGTGAATGTGAACTTGTGGTATTGGTTCTGGTTCAAAACTGAAACGGTGCAGCTTATGAGTCGTCAATCCTGATACAAAATAGATGTTCAAGAGAAGGTTAGTGTAATGATACTCTTAGTGCATTCAATACCTTGGGAGTCTGAACTTCTATCATCATTCTTAAAAATAAGAAAGTGCACTGTCAAGTTAACAATCATCCTATTTGTTAAAAGCACTTGTCCTTTTAGGCTGTTGTTTAGGATTTTTACATTTTCTCTGTCGTTTAAGCACATTCATCGCACTTTTTGTGAATTTGTTTCGCTTCATAACTCATTATTTTAATAATTGCACACATCCTAATGTCAGGTTTGCAAGTTACGATATTTAAAGTAGGTATACATTTTTTAAAGACTTCAATCGACTTTGCAAGTCATTAGATAAACAAGTATAAACTCTGCACACTCGAAGCGACAGAGACTCGATATTATGTGATAACACCTTCCACAGAAGTAAAGACTGCCCGTTTGATATTATCTGCTCTTTCAACCTGAGACCGAAAACAGTAAATTTGCAAATAAGTCATTAAAAATTGAACTGAACAAAAATTTCAATTAGTCGACCTGAATAATTCTGTTTCATGCCCCAAGAATTTAGTTTATTCTGATAAAGCGCTCTCATTGTACATCAGGCAGGGGAAATGTTCTGCATAAACGTTTGAATAAATATTCGGAAATAGCATCCATCTTAACAAGGGATTCAGCCAGCTCCATTGCGAAATTTCGCCATCCAGCAAAACCAATACCTTCTACCAATAATATGTAGGTAGTTTCATTTGGCTGACATCCCTTGTCAACCATGGCAGCAAGCACCTCAATGGCTTCTATGATTCTGTGCACTTTGCACAATCCAAGAAGAACAGCGTTGTAACTAATAACACCAGGCTGATAGTTGCTACCTTCCATGTCCACTAACAACTCAATGGCTTCATCCACCATTCCATCTCTGCATAAACAAGATATAAGTGAATTATATGTGATCTTGTCAGGATCAATACCGTTGCTTAACATCTCCAAAATCATCCTCAATGCTCTAATTTTGTCCCCATTACTCCAGAGAGCACCGAATATTATATTATAAGAAATTACATTTGGAGGGCAACCCACTTCACCAAGCTTCTTAAAGATGTTCAAAGCCTCATCAGTTGTTCCTTTCTTACAGAGAGAGGACATGATTATGTTGTAGTTGACGATATCAGGCAACCAACCATCAGTGATCATATTATCCAAAAGCTCTATTGCCAAATTTACCCTGCCTTCTTTGCAGAAAGCAGATATCAGCGGATCATAGCAGTAAGCATGAGGAGTTAACCCCTTTTCCTTCATAACCTTCAAAACATTCACTGCTTCATCACCTTTTCCATCCCTACACAGTGAACTGATCAAAATGCTGTATGTCACGACATTTGGCTCACAACCTTTCACAAGCATATCAGACATTAACCTCTCTCCAGCTTCCCATTTTCCTTCATTCAAAAGACCCTTCAGCAGCATATTATACGAAATCACATCCGGGGCGCAACCCTTTGTACTTAAACTGCTAACAAACTCAAAGGCTCGATCCACCAATCCTTGTTTGCACATACCCCTGACAATGACATTGTAAGTGTACATGTCAGGTTGAAGCCCTCTAAACAACATCTCATCCAAAATTTTCATGGCCTCATCAATACCATCCTCTATAATGGTTGCTTCTATTAAGATGGTGTAAGTGATCACAGTGGGCTCGCAGTTATCTCTCAGCAACTGATCCATGACCTTTAAGGCCAAATCCAGCTTTCCCATATTGCAAAGATTCCCAATGAGTATATTGTAGGTAACAGTATTAGGTGAGAACCCCCTCTTCTTCATTCGCTGAAGCACTCTGTTGGCACTATCCAACCTACCGGCATTGCAGAAACCACTAATCACTGCATTGTAAGCAACAGCATCAGGCTCGCCATGCTTTTCCAAAATCTCCATCACCCGCACCGCTTTTTCGATCTTCTTGGAATTGAATAACCCCTTTATCAGCTTTGTGCACAGAATAACATCGGGTTTGAAACCCTTGTTCATCATGTGCTCAAGAAAATAGAGGGCATCACTGTAATTCCCAGTTTTGATGAATCTGTTGAGGGATTTCATGTGATGGGTATCTCGAAAGTCGTAACTTTGGGCATGTTTGGGGGTTGTATCAGAAGAAATAACCCTAGCATGTACCTTGTTGTTCCTTCGCTTGCTAGTAGTACCATTGTTTAGAAGTGGGATTGTGGAGGTAACAACAGTGTTGGGGTGTGAATGCCACGCGCGCTTGAAATTGGTTCTGAATGAGGCCTGCGGTAAGAATCCGGTTGAAACTGTTGTCATGGACGATGTTGTTGGTTACAGTTGCAAGTTTGGGTACTCATGGACAAACAGTGGTGCCGAGTGTTCAGAAAAAGTCTAGCACAAGAGAGTTAGAAAGCAACAGAAATTTGAAGTGCGTTTCAAAGGTTGCCTTTGGATAAGGATTTGAGTGCTGTTAAGTCCCGGAACTGGGGCCTGAATTCAAGAGATTCTAAACCCTAAATCTTAAATTTATATAATTTTTAATATAATTAAATTTTATTAAAAAATATATTATAAACTTTATAATATTTTATATTCTTTAATAAAAATTTATTATATTCTTGTAAATATACGTTAAAAACTTGTTATTAAAAAGAAAACGAACTTCGAAGACCCAAGTCCAACGGCACAATAAAGCAGGGCAAAATAACAAAAGAAATAAAATTACTAACAAAAATACAGAAAAATAAACTATTTCTCCTTTCATGTTATTTTATTTTTAAATTAATACATATTTTTTTAAAATTAATCACACAAATTATGGTAATAAAACAACTTTTTTTACAAAGTACCTTTATTTTTAAAAAAACTTAAAGTGTAGTTGTGAATTAATTTAAGTATTTGTGAAATACTAATAGATAAGGATATTATTTTAAAACATAGTTATTTTTAAATTAAAAAAAAAGATAAATATTTTGAAACTAATTAAATCAAAGTGACACATAATATGAGATAAATAAAATATAACAAGCAATTACGCTTGTTCATTGTCACAACAGAAAAATGTATTAATTATAGTTTGATGACAATATTACTAAAATCGTAATGGTTATTCAAACAAAGAAAGTATTAATTCACTCTTTGTTTGTAGTTAAACTATGATATCATCATCATCATTATTATTACTGCACCTGTCCTCACATGTATTGCAATAATAAAATTATCAAGTTAATTTTCCTTATATTTAATAATGTAATTATTCAAAAAATATTCTTTTGACTGAATAAAAGATGCAGGTTTGTATTATATTAAAATTTTAGTTAGAGAAAAAGTTACGAACTTCAAAATAAAAGACATCATTTTTCTTAAAAATTATATAAAAGATAGTGTTAATTTTTTTCTCCATAAATGCCAAAGTAAACCTCAATAGTTGTACATAAAGCAATAGATCAAAGTCAACAAGACATCGTGAACATGAAGTATACCATTCCGTGATGTTAGTTTTGTTAATTCAAGGCATGATATTAATAATAAAAGGCACAAAAAGATTATATGCGTACAAAGTAACTAAACAATTAATTTAAAAAACATAAAGAAGCCTAATTGAATTCAACCTGGTGCAAAAAAAATTATTAGGATTGAGTAATTCATGAACTTTGCTCATATTTCCTTTTTTTTTTGCTTTTTGGTCCACGGGCTCAAATTGTTGTTTATTGATGCTTAAACTACACCAGCTCACTCAACTTGATTCAATTTCGGCCCCACTATACTATTCCCATATAAGAGATCATAGGTGAAGAATTTTTTCTTCAGTAGCCAACATAACCAATCCCCAGTGGTAAGTGAATAAACCATAGAAAGTCAAGTTTCAATGGCATGATCGCACGTAGAATTTCAAAATCAACCGCAGAAGAAACATGCTCTCATACTTGCTCCCCCAACACTGAGATGCGAAAATTTGTGTGATGTAGAGGTAAATATCTATGGTTAAAATTACCATCTTGTCAATGATTTTTGCTGTATTGATTTCTTCACACAACTTGAAGCAGTGATCAGGCTCTGCAGTCTCTAACAGAAAAGGAGTTTCTGAAATTATGAATAAGGACATGTTAAATGCATAGTATTTTCTTAGGCAAGCAAGAACAATTTGAAATTGACTAGCAAGTAGTAAGGGATTTGTTTTGGAGTAATTTAATAAAGAAATAACACCATACCTTACTGAATCTGCTACAGTGATACCAATTCAAATTTAGGAAGCCAAACACACACTCGAGCGCCCCATATTATAGGGGACTGAAAAATGAAACAATCTAGGCAGAGAGTGTGAACTGCACATTGTTTTGGTTAAAAGAGAGAACAAGACTTGGAGAGAAAAAGCCATATAGCTATGTGTGAGAAAGAGTAGATTCATTGAGTGTGTCACTTTAAAAAGTGAGGCTTCAAAATTACATAATGGGGCTTGATCATTTCAATATTTGCATCAATCTTAAAGATATGTTTTGAAGTTATAGTACTTACACAAGTATACATTTTGACAGACTTTACAATCTCCTTTATAAGTCAATGGATAACAATTAAGTACAAACTCTGTGCACACTTCAAGCAACTGAGCCTTGATAACAAGTGACAACACCATTAGAAGTAATGACTATCTGTTTGATAATATCTGCCCTTTAAACTTCGAGCCGAAAGCAGTAACTTAGCAAATAACACATTAATTTTAGCTGAACAAAAATCTCAATGAGAAGACTGAATAGATCAGTTTATGTCAAACAATTTACTTTAATCCGATAGAGCGAGCTCATTGTACACATCAGGCACAGGAAAGGTTCTGTATAAACGTCTGAAACGGTTGAATAAATCTTCAGAAAGAGCATTCATATTAAAAAGGGTTTTAGCCAGCTCCATTGCATAATTTCGCCATCCAGCAAAACCAATCCCTTCAACCAATAATGTGTAGGTAGTTTCATTTGGCTGACATCCTTTGTCAACCATGACAGCAAGTACCTCAATGGCGTCGATGATTCTGTGTGCTTTGCACAATCCAAGAAGAACAGTGTTGTAACTAATAACCGTAGGTTGATATTTGCTACTTTCCATGTCCACTAACAACTCAATAGCCTCATCCACCATCCCATCTCTACATAAACAAGATAGCAATGAATTATAGGTGATCTTGTCAGGATCAATGCCATTGCTTAACATCTCTAAAATCAGCCCCAATGCTCTAATTTTGTCCCCACTACTCCAAAGCGCACCAAACATTGTATTATAAGAGCTTACATTTGGAGGACAAACCACTTCACCAAGCTTATTAAAGATGTTCAAAGCCTCATTAGCCTTTCCTTTTTTACAAAGGGAGGCCAAGATTGTGTTGTAGTTTATAATATCAGGCAAACAACCATCAGAGATCATAGTATCCAAAAACTCTATCGCCAAATCTACTCTTCCTTCTCTGCAGAATGCAGCAATCAATGGATCATAGCAATAAGAATCAGGAGTCAACCCCTTTTCCTTCACAACCTTCAACACATTCACTGCCTCATCAACTTTGCCACCCCGACAGAGCGAATTAATCAAAATGCTATATGTCACAATATCTGGCTCACAACCTTGCACAATCATATCGGACATCAACCTCTCTCCAGCTTCCCATTTTCCTTCATTCAAAAGACCCTTCAGCAGCATATTGTATAAATTCACATTCGGGGCACAACCCTTTGCACTTAAATTGCTAACAAACTCAAAGGCTCGATCCACCAACCCTTGTTTACACATACCCTTGACAATGACATTGTAAGTGTACGAGTCAGGTTGAAGGCCTTTAGACAACATCTCATCCAAAAGCTTCATGGCTTCATCAATGCCACCTTGTATAATAGTAGCTTCTATCAGGATTGTGTAAGTGATCACAGAGGGCTTGCAATTATCTTTCAGCAACTGATCCATCACCTTCAATGCCAAATCAATCTTTCCTTTAGCAGAAAGATTCCCAATGAGAATGTTGTAGGTAACAACATCAGGGGAGAACCCTCTCTTCTTCATTCGAGGAAGCATTTTACTAGCAGCATCAATTCTATCAACCTTGCAGAACCCACTAATCACTGCATTGTAAGCAAAAGCATCGGGTTCACCGTGCTTTTCCAATATCTCCATCACCTTCATAGCTTCTTCGATCTTCTTGGAATTGAAAAGCCCCTTGATTAGCTTTGTACACAGAATAACATCGGGTTTATAACCCTTGTTCACCATTTGCTCCAGAAAATAGAGCGCCTCACTGTATTTGCCAGCTTTGCAGAATCTGTTAACGGCTTTCACGAGATGGGTATCTCGAAAGTCGTAATATTGGGCACGTTTCGACCTCGTATTAGTGACTCTGACATGTACCTTGTTGTTCCCTCGCTTGTTAGTGTTACCTTCGTTAAGAAGAGGTATTGTGCAAGTGACGATAGTGGTGGGGTTTGAATGCCACGCGGGCTTCGGGTTGGTTCTAAATGGGATCTGCGACAGGAATTCAGTTGAAACTGTCGTCATGGACGATGATGTTGGTTGCAGCTGCAACTTTCGGTACTCATCGACAAACAGTGGCGTTCGTTGTTATGAGATCCAAGTGCGTTTCAAATGTTGGTTGTGGATAAGGGATTGAATGCTGGAAGCCTAGAACAGAGCGCGAATCCAAATCCACCTTAAGTGAATGGGGTCCTTAATTATTATTTTCTTTTTTATTTTTCATTATTTTCCATAGGCCAGAGCCCAATTGTACACAACCAGCCCAAACTTGTAGGTAAAAAAATAGCTTAAATAAACTAAAATGGTAGAGGCTACTCCTCAATTAAGGAGACAATAATAATGTCAAATCATTACAGCAAAATCATTAATCCTGTTCCACGAGTATACGTAATAAATACTATTAATAAAATATTGAGTTGAAACTAATTATGATGTAGCTATTTATTTGCAAGCCTGACCCTAATATGAAGTGGACAAAGTCCTCACCTAAAGTCTAAAAGAAACATTTTTATACATTAGTAATTAATAGGATATGTTAATTAGTTTATAAATAATATCAATTTATTATGAATTTATTAACCTCAATTCTTAAAACTCGAGATAAGTAGTTAATAATAGTAAAATTTTATTAAAAAGATAAATATTTATTTTATTTTTATAATTTTAATATAATAATTATATATTTTCATAAAAAAAATTATTTATGAATGGTTAAACTTATCTCTTAGGAATGAAATTGATAAAGTTTATTTATTATAAGCAGTCTATTTTTTTTCCTAAAAAAATTCAACATTATATATTCTTTGACTTTGTCTTTTCTAAAAAAAATCATAAAAAAAATATGATTCGAGTTAAATATAATTATTATAAGTATTTGCTTCTTTCAAATATTTTACACAAAGTTATATAAAAATTTAAAATTTAAAATAATTAATTAAGTTAAATTAATCATGTATCGACTAATATATATGTTTAATGATTATCTTATAGTTACCTTTAATTTATAACAAAAATAATAATAATAAATTACAAGTTAGTAGATAAAATAGTACCTTTCTTTCTCATTTGGTGGATAAATAATAAATTTTGATATTTTATTTTATAATTTTTTTATTTATATTATAAGTATTTTTATTAGAGACAATTGTGTCCAAACAAGTAAAATCACCATGTGTAGCAATATTTTTCTTTAAATATTTAACATAATTATATTTAATGAAACTCAAATTTAATTTCATAAATTAAGCTAGAATAATTTCTGTCATTTCATCTACATACCTGATAATTGTTTTTCTTTCTTAACAATACTCAAAAAATTTTAAGCTTTATAATATCTCAAAAAAAATATTTTAAAAAATTAATTTGCATAGCAATTTTTTTCTTATTAAATATCTGATTAACTGATTGATTAATTTTTAAAATAAAAACTTAATTATCTAACCTATTTCATAAATAAACTATTTAACAATTAATTGACCATTCACTTATATATAGAATTGTGAAATCAAACTACTCATCATTTGGAGATAAAAAAACATTCATTATTTCCTAAATGTCCTGAAAAGAATAAATTTACGCAAATGTAAAGTACGTGTAGTAAAAGTCGTTGAGATTTTGAAAAATTGTTACATAGAAGGTGATTAAATCAACTTTCACTTTAGTTTTACACAGAAGATGATTTTTTTACATATCCATTATAGGTTTGAATTTTTTTACCTATAAGTTGATTGAAATTGACTTTCATTATAGGTTTGAATTTTTTACACAAAATTCAATTTAAATCAACTTTTATTCTGATTTTAAAATATTTCTTTTACACATAAACTAATTTAAATTGACTTCTATTCTGCTTTTGAATTTTTTTTTATATATAAAATTTGATTTAAATTGACCTTTTTGAAATTTGTTTAAGCAAAAGTTAATTTAAATTGACTTTTACTCATACATGAATACTAGAAAAAAGTCTATTATAATGAACTTTGTAATATATAATTAAAGTCAACTTAAATAGATTTTACTCTGCCCATAATAAATGAGTTTAAATGAACTTTAATATATTTCCTTATTATAAATAAACACATATTCTCTATTTAAGGATGAGAAAATTTTGAAATTGAGTATAAAAATTAGAATGATATGATAATGAAAGTAGATTTAAATGAATTTCTATGTAAAAAAAATTTGAAAGAATAAGAGAGGTCGATTTAATCAACTTCTGTGTAAAAAAATTTTAAAACTAAAAAAAATTGATTTAAATTGACTTCTATATAATAAGTTTTCAAATTTTTAACGAAAGTCTAATTGACTTATATTATATGTACTTTTAGAATATTTGCGTAATTTTATTCTTTTCAATATATTTATAAAATAATTAATATTTTTTAATTTACTTATAAAAAAAAGCTCATCATTTGAGTTGGCAAGTACTTTAGTAAATTGGGCTAAAAAATTTAAATATAATTTGAGCTTACAATAAAAATATTTAAAATAGATAAAGCTTGATTATTTTAATGAACTTTCATGAGTTTTTTGTGAATTTAACTTGCATAAAACTTAATTGAATTAAGCTAAAAAAGATTTAAATTTAAATTTAAATTTAAAATTCAAAATTCAAATTTTATATTTTTTATAAAAGGAGTTCAAGTATATCCAAACTCTATTTATATGAGTTGTTATACTAACAATAAAATTAATTATTCAATTAGCAATATTTTTATTACAAAATAATCTTAACCAATAATAATCCTATTAATATAAGTGCTTAATTTAACAATTAGATTAATTTTCAAATTATATTTTTTATGTAAGTTCATTTTAGTAATAAAAATATTAAACACTTTATTTAATTATGTGAATACTCAATTTTATCCGGGTTCTTGTTAAAAATAAATTTTAAAATAAAAAATTGAATATAATAATTTTTTTAAGAGGTTAAGAAAATAGATAAAAGAACTAATTTAAAATTAAAATTAAAATTTTTAATTTTTCAATGTAAAATTAGATTTAGAAATGGTCATAGTAGTTAGTAGATTTTTAGGAAAATGGATAAAAAAGAAAAAAAAATGATTACTAGTCATCGGAAAATAAGGGAACCTTTATTAGGATCTAGGGTTTTAGAAAATGCCTATAAATAGGAAACTTAAGTCTTCAGAGAAGGGGACTTTGAGGTGGACACCTTTTATTTTCTTTACAGGGATACTTTGAGAGCACAGAGAGAAACCTCAGAAAACGAAGAGAAAGAAAAGATTCAAGAGAGAAAAAAAGGAAAGAGTTAAAAAGAAGTCAACTGAGAGTTAAAGCATAGTCCTAGAGATCAATTGGAAAGAACATATCTAGAATGTTGAAGGAAAAGTCGACTTAAAAACTCTGAGTCATAACAAATGAGTCAACAAAAATATAATTCACTTCTTTTTATCATTCGGTAAGAACTATTATTTCCTTTTTCTTTTGTTATTCCTCTTTTCTTTTACTCATCATATCTTCATGTGTTTTTTTTTTTGTCTGTATTAAAAGTTTTTCTTCTTACAAATCTTAGTTTATCTAACTTAAGAACTTTTTTTTTTCTTATAAACTTACAAAATTTTTAATTTTCCTTTTACCTCTAAAATTTTTCTTTCTACAAATCCCAATTTTTTTTAACATGAAATATTTGTTCATTTTGTAAAAAAAAAAAATTTTTTTTCTACCCCAAAAATCATTCCTTTTGCAAAATCCTAAAGAATCTAATTTTTCTCCAACAACCCTTTTTTAATGATAAACCCTCTTTTTTTTCGTAAACCTAAAAATCCTAAAAAACCCTTAGTCAAACCCTAAAAATAAAATCTAAATCCATAAAAATTAATTTTTTTTTCTAACTCCGAGTATTACTTTTTTTTTGCAAACCCTAAAAACAAACTATTTTTTCTAACACTAATTTTTTTTTTTTTTTGCAAACCCTAAAATAATATTTGTTTTTCTAACCCAAAATCATTCAATTTTATTGTAAGGTCTAAAATAAACTATTTTTTTCAACCCTAATAATTTTGCAAATTATAAAAATTTAATTTTTCCAAATCTTAAAAATTCTTTCTTTTCATAAATTCTAAAACTCCTAATTTCTTTGCATATCCTAACCTAAAGAAACTTATTTCTTAAATTGAATAAGAGTGGAGGATCTACCTTCAACGTTGCTTGGATTGTAAGGGTTTATTGAGTAGCTGTGTGCTAACTTGAACCCTGTGCATGAGTGGATTTACTTAAAAATGATAATAATAAAGAAAAATCAAGTTTTTTTCACAAAAAAAAAAGAAAGAAAGAAAATCTTTGAAACTTATTCAAAACATAATTTTCAAAAAAGAACTACGTGTAACTTTGATTCCTACATTACACACGAAGGATACGTAAGAGTGGGAACTTGACCTGTCAAGTCTATTTTTTTTTAATTTTTTTTAAGGTTCAAAATATTTTTAAGAAATGTTTTAAACTAAGATTAATTTCTAGCACATTTTACTATATATTTCTTTAATACAAAAAATGAAAAAAAAGAATAATATTTTTACAAATAACTCATTCCTTTAATTCAAATAATTTTTATTGCATTTCCTCATTTTAAAAAATAAAATTAAAATCTCTCAAAAAATTTATAAAAATTAGAAATAAATCTAAAAAAATAATAATAACAAATTTGAAAATACTAAAAAAAATATTAATTAGTTTCTTTTAGAGTGAAATAAATGTTTTTAAAGTTAAAATAAAATTTTACACAATTAATTAGAAGGTAACTGTTTTAACCAACAGACGTCGTAAGGTGCTAATACCTTCCTTACACGTAAACAACTCCCGAGCCCAAATTTAGTTTCAAAGATTTTATTTTAATTAAAAAAAAATTTCAATATTTTCTTTAATAAACTTTGGTGGCGACTCCTTGTCATCGCCGTCCCATCGTGACCCCGGTTGGGATAGATGGCGACTCCACTGGGGACATTTTTTAGAGTCAAACCTAATCTAATTAAGTGTGCAAAAATTTTAATCTTTTTTTATTTCACTCATCATTTTGTTTGTGTATTCCTTTTATTTTATTTATTGTTCAGTTTATTTTTGTAAATATCTTGTTACTATTATTTCTCTTGCTATATTGTGAATCTTAGGGTAGA